AAAAACACTTTATAACATAATTGAGCAAATACCTCCTCAGATATCTTAGCATTGAACTAAGAGTCCGAACCAAGATATTAATCCCTTTATGTTGCCTTGTAAAATCTTCTGAATACCTTTTTTTTGGTGGGGGGTACCAGGGATTGAACTCAGGGGCACTAACCACTGAGACACATTCCCATCCCAATTTTGTATTTTATTTAGAGACAGCGTCTCATTGAGTTGCTTAGCACCTCACCTTTCCTGAGGCTGGCTTTGAACTCACAATCCTTCTGTCTCAGCTTCCCGAGCTGCTGGGATTACAGGTGTGCACCATCGCGCCCAGCTAAAACAAGCCATCTTGATTTCTTCTTCTGAGCTAGATGACTAGCTCCATGAGGGCCTAGAGAGTGCCTGCCTGTGTCGTGAGTGTACACTTAATTCAGGTTGGTTGGATGATTGATAATAAACCAACACTGATGGTCAAGTGAAGTAGAGTAGCAAATAATAATTCAGTCTCCAGTTTCCAGAATAACCTGTGCAATCATTTTATTCATGATCCGTGACAGGAGCCATACTTGGGTTACTGTATTTTCTCAGTTGTGTCCCTAGGACATTTGCCTTGAACAAACAAACTAGAGAGACTAGAGACACATTTGTTAAGTGAACAAGTGAATTCCACCAATACAGTCCAGGATAAAGAGCCTCAATTGAACTTTGCAGGCTTAGAAGCATTTGTCTACATATCTACTCCTGATTTAAATAGAAAAAACTTGAAAAAGAATAATTCATTTTGAAGGTTTGGAAAAGGGACTTACAAAAGAAGGGATGGTGGGCCACGAGCTGCAGTTGTTTCCCCTGTGGGCTGTCACTAGTCTGTTGTCTATGGTACCTCAAGGGATTGAAATATGCTGCTCTGGCGTGAGAATTGTTTTGAGCTGAAGGAATGTGAGATTCCACAGATGCAGAAAGAAGCCCTCCCAGAATTTACATCCCTCTACGACAAAAAGCAGAAACTCCTGAGAAATGACAACTGCTAGAGATTCCCTCTCACAGGGATATTTTGTGGCCATGAAGAAGACAGGAAGCTGGCACTGAGATGAACCTGCACAAACAAACCAAACTAAAGTGACTCTCATCTTCCATTAGTTTCCTCTGCATATTTACTTTCTCATAATTTACCACCCCTGGAAGCTTAAAAGCCTTTCCTTTGTCTTGTCACATTTCCATAATTTATCACTCATTGTTCAAAATGGTCTATAAATCTCTGGTCTATCCACTTATTTGGGTCTTCACTCTTTTTTTTTTTCTCCCCCTCCCTAGGAAGGCTCCTGTGTCATGAGAAACTTAACATCAAATAGGATTTGCATACATTTACTCCTTTCAATCTCTCTATTTCACAGAGCCTCG